TATATATATGACCTTATATACATGGACATAGTTTGCCTCCAATTTCAGGAAACTACCCCCCCAAAAGTCAATAATCATCATCATTTTCATTTATTGAGCTGATAAGATGTGCTAAACATATTCAGGATTTTACCTAACTTCCTGAGCAGAAGTTAGCAACAGTTGGCAAGGTGTAGTGGTACAAGCCTTTGATCCCAGCACTCAGGAGGCAGGTGGATCTCTGTGAGTTTGAAGCCAACCTGGACTATATAGTGAATTCAGGGCAGTCAGTGCTACATAGTGAGACCTTGTCTCAACAACAACAACAAAAAGGCTGAGATGACTCAGTGGTTAAGAGCACTGACTACTCTTGCAGAGGACCCAGTTCAGTTCCCAGCAGCAATATATAGTGGCTAACTATAACTCCAGTTCCAAGGGATCTGATGCCCTCTTTGGGTCTCCACAGCCACATGCTGCACTTACATACATGCAGGCACAACACTCATACACATTAAATAATAATTTTTTTAAGACCCACTTGGGGAACAAGACTGAGCTCTAAACCACTGCACAACAAAGTCTTCAGAACCCCATGGTAAAGTCTCTGCTTCAACATTCAGAGTCCAGGCAGTTGTTGGGGTGGGAGTCAAATCAAGGAGGAACTGTCCCTTTCTATGTTACACATTTATGCATTTCTGTGTTGCTGAGGTTTCTTTTTTTTTTTCCTTTTTGAGACAGGGCCTCTCACTATGTAACCCTGGCATGCCTGGAACTCTCCATGTTAAACTAGTCTGGCCTTGAACTCATTGAGTTTTCTGCCTGCCTGGGATTAAAGGTGTACACACCCACATCTGACTTATTTTTATTTATGTATATGTGTGTGGGTTTGTGCAGGTGAATGCATTTGAGTCAGGATCTCACTATGAACAACCAGGTTGGCCTTGAACTCAGAGGTCTCAGCCTTTGCCTCCCAACTGCTGGAATTAAAGGCATGTGCCCAATAAAGGCTTTTTTCTTTTTATGAAACAAGGTCTTATGTATTCAAGGCTGGCCTCAAACTCACTGTGTAGCAGAGGACAACCTTAAACTTCTGATCTTCCTGCCTCTACCTCTTGAGTGCTGAGATTATAGGCCTGTGCCATCATGCATGATACACGTGGTGCTGGGGAATCAAACCTAGGGCTTTCTGCATGCTAGGCAAGCATTCTAACAACTAAGCCACATCCTCAGCCCCTAAAAGCATTACTCTTAATAAAATAAGACATCAAAACAAACAAACAAACAAAAACCAGAGGGCGATGAACACAGACAACCACAACTGGCCAAAGGGTATAGAATAAGAGACACAGCATTGTGTCCCTGGATAGGACTCCTGTATAAAAGTTCACTCATCCAGGGCTCAGGGACCGTTGAAGAAGAGGGGGTAGAAAGATGGTAAGAGCCAGGGCTGCTGCATGACTATAAGGAAACAGTCTTACAGGCTCCTGGCAACCTGGTCATATGAACTTACAGCAGTAGTGACAGCATGCACAAGACCCATGCAAACTCAGGTTAAAACCCAGCATAGAACTGGGGAAATGGGCATGAGGCCCCAACATTAGCTGAGGAACTACTGGCAGCAGATCACTGCTGGGTGAGGGAGAATTGGTGTTCTTTAAGGGAGTGATGCTAGATAGGCTGACCAGGCTCCAGTAGATGGACTCATATTGAGATAGCTGGGTCAATAGGCTTTAACATATATGACAGAATGCATGAAATCCTGTGGGTGGGCTATGGGGGGGTGCAGATAGGGGAGGTCTAAATATGATTAAAATGTATTGTATGAAATCCACAATAATTTATTTATTTATTTAGTTTTATTTTGTTTTTGACAGGGTCTCCCTAGTTCCAGCCCACCTGGAAGTCACTATATTGACCAGGCTGGCCTCGATCTCACAGAGATCCACTTACCTCTGCCTTCTGAGTGCTGGGAATAAAGGCATACACCATCATGCCCGGCCAACAAAAATTTAATTAAAAAAATACACATTGAAAACAATAGCAGGCCTGGAGAGCTGGCTCAGTGGTTAAGAGCACTGGCTGCTCTTGCAGAGGACCCAGGTTCGAATCCCAGCAACCACATGGCAGCTAACAACTGTCTGTAACTGCAGTTCCAGGCAACACCCTCTTCAGACCTCCAGGGGCATTGCATGACATGGGTACACCTACCTACATGTGGGCAACACACTCATACACATAAAAGAAAAATAAATAAATAAAACAACAAAAGAAAAAAATAGTGCCCCCCCCCAAATTAGGGCCTGGGGAGATGGCTCAGTGGATAAGAGCACTTCCAGCTCTTGCAGAGGACCCAGGTTCGGTTCCCAGTACCCACAGGGCAGTTAACAATTGTCTTTAACTCCAGTTCCAGGGGATCTGAAGTATCACTGCATGTACACAGTACACTTAACATACATGTAGGCAAAACACTCATACACACAAAAAATAAAATACTTAAAAAAGCAAAATTTAAAAAATGAAAAACCAAAACTTTGTGCAGGACTTCATGCTCCAAGGAGTGCAGTTTACATACAAGTAGCAAGATTGGGGCTTAGTTGTTTCTTCAGCATTTATGTAACTTGAAACTCAGAAGTTAGGCAATTTGCAGGAGGTCACTCAGCTGTAATGTTAGGAAAAGCAGCTTGGCCCTGGGGTAAGCTCAGTGATACCCTGGTACCCTGGGATACCGCCCCCTCCCCCCGCCCCCCTCCATGGTCCCAGCCCTGGCCTCACCTCCACGTCCTCGTCTGCTCTCTGCCGGTTCTGCCGCACCTCCTCCAGCTGCTGCTGGGCCTGCTGTAGGGAGCGGCTCTGCAGTGCCATCTCCTGCTCCAGCTCCTGCTTCTCCTGCTGCGCGCGCTCGATGTAGCGTTCCTGCTCCTCCTTCAGCTGCATCAGCTGCTTCAGCTTCTCCTCCTCCTCCTCCAGCAGCCTGCCGGGGATGCACCGTGAAGTTCTCCAGCACCGAGGCTGGAGGATCCATGCAGATGTTGGAGGGAAAGCCGCAGGAGAGACCCCTGGTCTGGGCGAGGCGTACCTGGTCTGGGCGAGGCGCACCGCCTCCTCATCCTGCCTGGCTTTCACCTCCAGGTGCAGCGCCTCCTTCAACCGCTCCTGCATCTCCTCCAGCTCTGCTATGCGCTGCCGCTGCCGGGCCGCCTCTTCCTTCTTCAGCTCCATCTCCGCCTGCATGGAGGCCCGGGCCTGTAGGGAAGGCAGAGCCAGGTCGGTGGGATGCAGGAGAAGAGAGAAAAACAGGGCTCAGGGCTCTCCCGGACTTGGATGGGGTTGCGGGTGTGTGTGTGTGGGGGGCTGTCCACATAGAGCTGGGGGTTCTTTTTGTTAGGGTTTCCTGATCTGACCCCTTTCTGAGAACCTGATGGGAAAGACGAATAGATGCCTCAAGTCATTCTTTTCTAGAACTGGCTATAGAAATAATCCTTAGGGGCCAGGGCTGTAGCTCTGCCTAAGCAGAGCACTTGTCTGGTGTGCCCTGAGTCCTGGGTTTAATATCCAACACCTTACACAAAACACTGCCAATTATTGTTATATATAATTAAACATCCTAGTATGTTATATTACAATTAAATAACACATTAAAATAGATAGAACCCCTTCCTAGCACGACTCCTAACAAGTACCATATTATTATGGCTGGCTGGTGTTCGGGATTGTAATTATTACAACAACCAAAAATTATTAAACTCTTTTTCTTTTTTTGAGACAAAGTCCACCTAGGAGCTCCAACTGTCTTGGAACTAGTTGTGTAGACGAGGCTGGCCTTGATCTCACAGAGATCCACCTACCTCTGCCTCCCAAGTGCTTGGATTAAAAATGTGCACCACTAGGCTTTTATTTTAAAAAAAGATTTCTTTTTCTTTTATATGTATATTTTGCCTGCATGTATGGATGCCACATGAGTGCCCCTGAACGCCGGAAGAGGGCATCAGACCCCCTGAAACTGGAGCTGCAGGTGGCCGTGAGCCAAATCTCCCCAAGGACCAGCCAATGGTCTTAACTGCTGACCCATCTTTCCAGTCCTGAACTCTTTGTTTTTTAGAAACAGATTTCATGTAGCACAGGCTGGCTTCAAACTCTGTATGTAGCCAAGGGATGACCTTGAATTTCTGATCTTTTTGCCTCTACTTCCCAAGTATTGGGATTACAGGTGTGTGTCAACCTTTCCAGATTTTTTTTTTTTTTTTGGTCTTTTTGAGACAGGGTCTCCCTGTAGCCCCAGCTGTCCTGGAACTCACTATGTAGACCAGGCTGGCCTTGAACTCACAGAGATCCGCCTGCCTCTGCCTCCCCAGTGCTGGGATTAAAGGCATGCGCCACCACGCCCGGCCCAACCTTCCCAGATTTTAAGATTTATTTTTATTATTTTTAATTATCTGTGTTTGTGTCTGTGTGTGGATATGCATATGTGAGCGCCAGTACCTACAGAGCCAGAGACATCAGATCCCCAAGGGCTGGAGTTACCATTGTGAACTGTGTGTCCTGGGTGCTCCAACCAAACTCAGGTCGTTAGCCACTGAGCCAGCTCTCTAGCCCCCTAATAACTTTAAAAAAAAGATTTGTCAGGTGTGGTGTTGCATGCCTTTAATCCCAGCACTCAGGAGGTAAAGTCAGGTGGATCTCTGTGAGTTGGAGGCCAGCCTAGTGTACATAATGAGTTCTGGTACAGCTGGAGCTACAAGGAAACCCTGTCTCAAAAAGACCGAAAAAAAAAAAAGATTTTTATTCATGCGCATAGAGGTTTGTCTGTCTGTGTGTGTGTGTGTGTACCTATGGAGACCAGAAGAGGGTGATGGATCCCCTGGAACTAGAGTTATAGGTGCAGGTGGTTGTGAGTCACCATATGTGGGTGCTGGGAACCCAACTTGGATCATCTGTAAAAACAGTAAGAGCTCTTAACTGCTGAAGCATCTTTCCAGCCCCTTAATAATTTGGGGGGTTTTTTTGGGGGGGGCTCTTTTTGAGACAAGGTCTCCCTATAGCCCAAGCTGGCCAGGAACTCGCTATTTAGACCAGGCTGGCCTCACACTCACAGAGATTCACCTGCCTCTGCCTCCCTAGTGCTGGGATTAAAAGTGTGCACCGCCACGCTGGCATAACTACATAGTGAGATCTATGTAGCCCTGGCAGGCCTAGTACTATGTAGACTGCGCTGCCCTCAAACTCACAGAGATCTGCTTGCTTCTGCCTCCCAGGCACAGCTTTACTGACCTCTTTACAAGTGTTTCTTTCTTTCTTTTTTTTTTTTTTTGTCTTTTTGAGACAGGGTCTGCTTGTAGCCCCAGCTGTCCTGGAACTCACTATGTAGATCAGGCTGGCCTCGAACTCACAAAGATCTGCCTGCCTCTGCCTCCCAAGTGCTGGGATTAAAGGCATGCGCCACCACACCTGGCATACAAGTGTTTCTTTTCAAAAACTATTTATTTATTGGGGACTGGAGAGATGGCTTAGCAGTTAAGAACACTGGTTGTTCTTGCAGAAGATCCGGGTTCAAATGCCAGCACCCACATGGCAGGTAACAACTGTCCATAACTCCAGTTCCAGGGGATCCGACAGTCTCTTCTGTCCTCTGTGGGCATTGCACAACACGGGTGCACTTACCTACATGCAGGCAATACACGAAGACACATAAAAAAAATAAAATTATTTTTTAACTTGTAAAATTTATTATTTACTTATTTATTTTTAATTTTTTGGTCTTTTTGAGACAGGGTCTCCCTGTAGCCCCAGCTGTCCTGGAACTCACTATGTAGACCAGGCTGGCCTTGAACTCACAGAGATCCACCTGCCTCTGCCTCCTGAGTGCTGGGATTAAAGGCATGCGCCACCATGCCCTGACTATTATTTTTATTTTATGAGTGCATTGCCTGCATGTAGGTAGTTGGCACCAGTGTTGTGCAATGCCTGTGGAGGTCAGCAGAGGGTGTTGGATTCCCTGGAAATGGAGTTATGGACAGTTGTTAGCTGCCATGTGGGTGCTGGGAATCGAGTCTTCTGCAAGAGCAACCGGTATTCTATTTTTATTTTATGTGTATGTGTGTGCATTGCCTGCATGTGTGTAAGTAAAACCATGTCATGCAATGCCTGTGGAGGTCAGAAGAGGGTGCTGGATACCCTGGAACTGGAGTTACAGATGGTTGTTAGCTGCCATGTGCACTGGGAATCGAACCCAGGCCCTCAGCAAGAGCAGTCAGTGCTCTTAACTGCTGAGCCATCTCTCCAGCCCCTACAAGGATCTCTTTACTGAACCCTCATTCTCATTTCTATGATCTGAGTTCTTTTAGTATCAACATTTACTGATAGGGAGGCTCAATATGTGCCTGAGATGACAGGGCTCCTGAGAGGCAGAGTTGCAATCTCATGTGGAGGTCAGAGGACAATGCTCTGCAGTCAGTCCTCCCACCTTTACGTGGGTTCCAGGAACCCAAGCCAGGATGTTAGGCTTGTGTGGCATTTACTCCCTGAACCCCCTGGGCCCAGGATTAAACTTCCTAAAATTCTAATTCCAATTTTCTCTGCATGTCTACACCATCCCCCCCAGGCCCCAAACTGGTTTCACTGAAATTTTAGTTCAAGTCTAGATTAACTTTTGCCCAAATATTCGCAATCCCATGGTTTTTGGCAGCTCCTTGGGCTTTCTGAATCAGGTCCCATTATGTCTGTCACAAAGCCCCAATTCCACCACCCTCATTTCAACCACCTCGAGGTTCCTGCCTTTCCTTTCCTTAGCCACAGGTCCAGCCCTGGAACAGACCAGTTCAGACTTTCTTTCAAGACCACGGGCTCTGTAGCACACTGTCCCTCATTCCAGCCCACAGGTTCCGCCCTCCTTCCTGGCCCCGCCCCCAGACACTCTAGGCTCCTCCCTCTTCCGTAGCACCTCCCGTCTGTCTCAAATCCCGCCTACGGCATCCTCCAACCACAGGCCCCGCCCTGTATCCTGGTCCAGTCCTGTCCTCCACGCTAGGCCCCGCCCCCAGCATGCTCCAACCCACAGGCTCCGACCTCCGCTCTGGCCCCTCCCACCAGCAGGCCACGCCCTTTGACCACCTCTCTAGGCCCCGCCCATATAATCCTGCACTCAAGGCCCCGCTCACACCATCTTCCAGTCATAGGCCCCGCCCTCCGCCTCGGCCGGGCCCGGCTGCCCCTCTCCCGGCTCCGCCCCCGGGGCTGGCCCCACCTGCTCCGCCTCACGCAGCTGGCCCTCCAGAGCCTGCTGCAGCTCGCGGTGCTGGATGCGGCGGTGCTCCTCCTCCTCCTGCAGCAGCCGCTCGGCCTGCCTCTGGGCCTCCTGCAGCAGCTCCAGCTCCTGCAGCTTCCGCTCCTTCTCTTCCTGCAGCTGCTGCAGCCGCAGAAGCTCCTCCTCCTTGGCCGCCCGACGCCGCTCCCGTTGCTCCCGCTGTTCACGCCGCTTCTGTTTCAGGTCCTTGTGCAGCGACGTCTTTCCCTCCGCCTGCAGCCGAATGGCGGTCTGGATGGCTGCGGGCAGAGTGGGAAGGGGTCAGCCGGGGCCCTGCGAGGTGAGGCGACCCAGGCCCAGCTGGACCCAGGTCAGCACTCACCCGCCGTCCACTCCTGGCGCTGGCGCGTGTCGGAAGCGCTCATCTCGTAAGTGCGGCTGGCAGTCTTCACGCAAAACATGCAGCGCTTTCCTTCGCGGTCCGGCAGCACCTAGGAGAGGTTTTCACAGAAGTGGGGGCCACACCTGTCCCAGGGCTGCCCCAGTTCAAGCCTCTCCCGGTCCTGGCTGGCCAACTTCCCTGGGTCCCTTCCTACTCTGACAGGAGCATGCATCCAGGATTGGACCTGTTCCATAACTCTTGTCCTTGCTCTCTGAAGGCTAGGGGACGCCATTTCATCTTAGGGCATCTCTCCACGTTGTACAGGCTTGAACACTTCCAGTGACTGGGGCCTCACTACCTACAACCACTGACTTCCAAATCTAGCCCTTCCCGGTGAGGGGGTTCATTCATTCCACAGATATTTTTGTACAACTCCTGAATGTCACTCATCAGTCATTTGGGGATACTGAGGCATGCTTGGTGTTCTTGCCTTCACTAAGGTTATGTTCTGTGAAAAAATAGCAGCTGTCTGTACTAGTGTTTTCTATGTATCATTTGTGTGTGCGGCAGGATTTCACCATGTAGATGAGGCAGGACTTGAACTCATAGAGATCCTCCTGAGCTCTGGGATCAAAGGCCTGTGCCAACATGCACAGATTGGGGAGCTGAGGAGATAGTTCAGTCAGTTAAACAACTGTACAAGCATGGAGACCAGAGTTGTATCCCCAGAACCCATGCAAACAGCCAAGTGTAAGCTGGGCGTGGTGGTGTACACCTTTAGTCCTAGCACTTGGGAGGCAGAGGCAGGCAGATCTCTATGAGATAGAGGCCAGCCACCAGTCTACATAGTGAGTTCTAGGCCAACTGTGACTACAGGAAGACTGTCTCAAAAAGAACAAAAAAAGGCAGGTGTGGTAGTGCACACTGTATTCCCATGCTGAGAGGTAGAGATGGGAATCTCTGGGTCTCTCCAGTCAGCGAGCTTCACTAAATCAGTGAACTCCAGTTCCAGTGTGAGAGACTATTAAAAAAAAAAAAAAAAGCCTGTAGTGGTGGTCCAGCACTCAGGAGGCAGAGATGGGTGGATTTCTATGAGATCGAGGCCAACCTAGTTTAGATAGTGAATTCCAGGCTAGCTGCTCTACAGAGAAACCTTGTCTCAAAAAGACCCCCTCCCCCCAAACCAAACAAACAAACAAAAATATATATCAATAAAGTGAATAGCTTTTGAGGAAATGACATGAGGTTGATCTATGTCCTTCACATACATGTGTGAACTCACATACATGGGAACACACAGAAAAAAGAAAAAAAACCCACCAAGATAGAATGACACTGTAAGTTGAACTTTGACTTCCACACACACAGGCATACACATCTACATACAAATGTGTACTGTACCTACAGGAACACACATACACAGACACAAATGATCCCAGCACTAGGGAGGTAGAGACAGGGAAATGAGGAGTTCAAGGTCATCCTGGCCGATGTGAGACCCTGTTTCAAGGAAAAAACCTCAGCAAGATTTGCTATGAAGTGTAGATATGAGTCATGCGTCTGAAATCTCTAGTGAAGTCCGATTATCATCCATCAATGACTTTGACATTTGATTCAAAGTTGTTTTTTTTTTTATGTATATGAGTATATTGCCTGCATGTATGTAAATATACTGTGTCATGCAGTGCCCACAAGAGGGCATCGGATTCCCCTGGAACTGGAGTTATGGATGGTTGTTAGCTTTCATGTGGGTGCTGGGAATAGAACCTGGGTCCTCTGCAAGAGCAGCCAGTGCTCTTAACTGCTGAGCCATCTCTCCAGCCTCTTGGTTGGCAATTTTAGTCTATTTAAAATGCTTACACTGGCTGGCAGTGTAGCTCAATGGTGGAACACTTGCCTAAGATGCAAGAGGTCCTGGGTTTGAATCCTAGCACTGCAAAAGAAAAAAAAAAGTGCTGACATGGATGTGAAGTGCCTTTAGGCATTTGGGTTACACTAATTAATCTAAGCAGAAGTGTCACCATGACTTTCCTCTCTCCTCTGTCCTTCCTCCTGACCCAATTGTTGTGTACACACTGCCCTGAGGTCCCCTCCCCTGTGCCCTCACCTCCACACAGCACTGAGCATCTAGTGGGATGGTGCCTCTCTTCTCCTTGCACTCTTCACTCCCAAAGTAGCAGAGGCAGCTGGGCTGCAGCTGGAACCAGCGTTCTGCCCAGTTCCTCCTCAGGTGCCCTCTCTTCCACAGATAGCCCTGCAGCCAGAGTCAAGTCAGAACGAGGACTCTGAGGTCTCCACTGCCCTCCCACTGGTCCTCCCCAAGTTCCTGGCTTGGCTAGCTGACCTGTTTCAGGACATCTTGGATGAGTTCTTGGTAGACTTCATGGATGGCCATGCTGAGGGTGTCCCGTCCCACGCCCCGCAGGCAGCGGCCAGAGTTGAAGAGCTCTAGGAACTGCCAGACGCTGAGCCCCCCGGAGTTCTGGGCTGCTTGGGCCTCCTGGGCCAACAGTTCCTCCAGCTCGCCCAGGCCCATCTCCAAGCTCATGCTGCTGAGCAACTTCTTCAGCAGGTATTCTACCTGGGAGGGAGAGGGAGGTCAGGTGACCAACACCAGCACCAACACCAACACCAGGGATGCTCTGGCTGGTTCCCAGAGCCTGGACCAAGGGACAGGGGTGTGAGGAGGCTAGAGAACTGGTGGAAACCAACACCAGCACCAACACCAACACCAGGGATGCTCCGGCTGGTTCCCAGAGCCTGGACCAAGGGACAAGGGTGTGAGGAGGCTAGAGAACTGGTGGAAACCAGGATAAAGATTTCTGAGGGACTCTCTGGAAAGCGAGCTCCACTGTAAGCATCTTCCCTCTTCTCTAACCTAAGTCTACCTAAGTCTCACTCCTTTCTTTCTTTTTTTTTTAATTTTATTTTTTATTTTATGTGTATGAGTGTATTGCCTGAATGTAGGTAAGTGCACCCATGTCATGCAATGCCTGCGGAGGACAGAAGAGGCTGTCAGATTCCCTGGAATTGGCGCTATGGACAGTTGTTAGTGCCATCTGGGTGCTGGGATTCCAACTCAGGTCTTCTGCAAGAACAACCAATGTTCTTAACCGCTGAACCATCTCTCCAGCCCTGTCTCACTCCTTTCTGCCTTAAATTAAAAGCAGGGGCAGGTGGGAGCTAAAAGCTAGGGGAGAGAATCAAGTTAATCTTTGCAGTGGTACCAGCCTTCCACCCAACACCCTGAGCTTTGCATATGACAAAACCAAGGCCCAGAGAGGAAACTGGCTTGCTTCAAGTCGTACAGCAAGCTGGGAACAGCCAGCACTCCATTCGGATTCTTGATTTCTATGCAGGTTTTTATTCCAACCCCCGTCCCAGATGGAGCTGGAGTTCCTTCTCTTGTGGGAGAGCAAGGGGATTAGGGCTGGGGGTTAGCAGGACCAGAACAGGAAACCCATCACAGATGAACAGGAAGTGGTGGCTGGGGTACATCCTGCTGCAGTTTGTTTTTACTGCATGTTGATCACAGCAGTAAGAGGCCTCCTGCCTTCTTGAGAGGCCACCTTACCCCAAATGGCAGAGACCTGATGAGGGTGTCCACTCTGGTCCCAGCTGGTCCTGGGAAACTCTCTTCAGGGCTGTCACCCTGGGGACACTGGGTATCCACTGTGGGTTTCGTGGAGGGCATTGGTCAGGCCTCAGGTGGCTTTTACCCCAGTCAGAAGCAGTCAGACATGTTGGAATGCCTTGCAACACCTTACTCTGTGTGCCCCAAATTCAGCCCAGCACCTCCACAACTGCCAAGGGGAATGAAGGGTTGGAAGCAAGCCAAACCAGCAGGGAGAGAGGTGGGTAAAACAAGGGGCTGTAGGTGGACAGGGAAAGGTGGCACTGTCTTCCCCTAGAGCTAAGACGGCAAGGACCAGATTCCTGGCCTCTTCTGTCTGTATGCTCCCTCTCTCTCTCTCTGGGGCTCTGTGCTGAGTCTGCCCTGGCTTTCCAGAAAAAATAAAAGAAACCATCTGGAGCCACAGCCAGACTTGGTTATCCACCTTGAGTAACTGGAGAGTCGCTTCCTGTCTTGTCTTCATAAGGCCTCCCTTCCCCTTAATAAGGTACCTAGATTACTAGAGCGCCTAAGAATTCTGCGATTTGAGCTGAAACTTCTCATTTTAAACACTCAACAATGTGTCAGGCTTTACACCACTGCTTAATATAAAAGCTTTGCAGCTTGTTTTCTTCCTGTGAGAGCTAGTAGAGCCCTGATAGAAAGCTCAGTCTCCTTTTCCTGGAAGAAGGCACAGCTGCTCCGGTGTGGGTAGTTCTAGGTATCCAGAGACAGCTAGGTGGTAACTAAAGCAGTCCGGAGTGATGGTGAGGAAAGGAGATGTGGGAAGGGACAAAGGCAGTCTGGCTTCTTTCATGGTTTTGCTAGGGCCTGCCCCTTAGTGACTCAATCCCTGGGTCTGGCACCATCCATACCTCATCAGGAACCATGATCAAGGGGTACTTGTCCTCAGAGAGGAAGTTGAAGAGGCACCAGAGGCGGAAGGCATCCTGATTGGAGAGCAGATCATTCCCGTTGCTGTCTGCTTGATAGTTCTTCTTGGCCGTCAGTGTCCAACACAGCTCATCAAAGTGCTCTTTAACAAAAGCTCCTTCCTCCACCTGCCACCAGGCCTGGAAGTCAGCCAGGTGCCCCGTCCCTGCTCCACCCTCAAACAAGGCTTCAGCATAGCTTCTTGGGTTCATCTGTGAACTCCACTACCCATCCCTACCAAAACCAGGGCTAAACTCTATCTGGTTCTGACACTTCATCACTTCCCACCCTCACCCCACTAATTCCCCCACCAACAAAGACATGTTAGTCCCTCACCCCAAGGAAGAAAGGAAGGAAAGCCCAGGGGACAGGCCAACCAAGGAGAACCTGCAAAGGACTGACAATTTGAGACTTGCAGGATGGTTAGGGTGGGCTTAGGTAAGGAGAGGGGGGAGCTAAGACAGGAGAAGAGTAGGCAAGAGGGGACAGGTGGCTGGGGTGATGGATGGGGAGGGGAGAACAGGGATGGATAGAGTGGAAAGAAATGGCAATTCTGAGGGAGTGAAGAATTTGAGCAGCAAGGATAAAATTGGGGTTCTGGGGAAGGGGTGCTCCTTACAGCTAGGCCTCACCTTGTCCAGAATGTACTTGTTGAGGTAGGGCATGTAACCTTGGCTGGACACGGGCCCATCATCGTCATCTCGGAAGTGCTCCTCCAGGGCGACGGGGTCATGGGGAATGTGCAGGACCGTGTACAGGTTGTGGGACAGCACCTGAGACAGAGAGAGTGTTTGCTTTCCTGCACCCAAACCAAACCTGAATCAAAGGACTATTCCCATCTCATCAGGACAACCCCATCCTGGCTGGGTTCTCTGAAGGTATGGTGTTGATTAGACATACAAAAGCAGACTCAGCATGCCAAGCACTTACTGTCATTCATCTTAACCCCATAACAACTGTCCACAGCCCCATCAGAGCTGGGATTCAGACCCTGGCAGCCATCTTTCTGGTCACTTTGTTACTTGTGGGTGCCTTCTTTCCAGAGACCTGGAAGTCGAGGCTCATGGGCTTTAGTAACTTGCTGGAAGGCTGTCAGTGAGTCAGCCAGAGCTTGGGATTCCAGGCTTGTAGGGTCAGATTCCAAGGTCAGTGTCCCTGCAAATGCTGGGCTGTCTGTTGGGAGGCAGTGGTCTACTGCAGGGCAGAAGACTTGAATTTATCTGTTTCAATAAAAGATTCTATGTTTAGGCTGCCTTGTGTACCCAGGTAGGGTCCTTAGAAACACTGAAAGGAGCTAGGAGAGTTCAGAGAAGCCTGATGAGAAATAACTTGCGAGATGGAAAGACAGAAGAGAGATGGTGGTCCTGATGGTATGCGGGGGAGGTGGGTTGGACAACTTTCTGATGTTAAAGCAAATCCAAACTTTGGACAAGAAGATCTGGTTAAAAAAAAAAAAAGAGGAGGAGGAGGAAGAGGAGGAAGATGAGATGAGAAGAAAGAGGATAAGAGGCAGAGGAAAAAAAAGAAAGTGGCTTTGGGGAAATTGTGTTACAGTGCTTAATCGCAGACAGAGTGAATGTTGAATAGTTGCTATTATACTGCTCACTTCCTATGTGCCAGCAACTGCACGAAGTGACTAAAAAGGATTTTATTTTATTTTTTTTTATCTGGCAGGGGGTGCTCACACCATGATGTGCAGAGGACTATTTTCAGAGTCTATTTTCTTTCCACCATGTGGGTCAGGGCAATTGAACTTGGGTCATTACTTGGCACTGATGCCACATGCCTTTATCTGCTGAGCCATCTTGCTTGCAAAAAAAAAAAAAATTCTTTTGGTCTTTTGAGACAGGGTCTCCCTGTAGCCGGAGCTGTCCTGGAACTCACTATGTAGACCAGGCTTGAACTCACAGAGATCCGCCTGCCTCTGCCTCCCAAGTGCTGGGATTACAGGCATGCACCACCATGCCCGGCTCAAAATTGCTTTTTTTGTTAATTAAAAGAAACCTTTTTTGGAGACATGTTTTATGAGTATGGTGCATACACATGTAACCCAAGCATTTTGAAAGTAGAGGTAGGAGGACTAGGAGTACAAGGTCACTCTGGCTTCATAAGGAGTTTGAAAATAGCCTGGGCTATAGGAGACTCTGTCTCAAACAAACAAGTAAATAAATAAATAAATGAAAATGTGTGTGCGTGTGCACAGATACACATTGCTGTGCTGGGGATGAACCCAGGGCCTCGTGTGTGGTAGGTAAGCACTCTCCCACTGAGCTGTAACCCAGCTGGAATTTGGCATTGTAATCCAGTAAATACCCTTTCCCTTAAACAATCTGAGTTTATGCTTATCACTTAAATCCAGGAAAGTCCTGAGTAATATATGTGGTCCTAGACTACTGTCTCCACTCTAAGGGGTGCTGTTGGCCTAAGGTCTAGTACTTCAAATCTAAATGAATGGGCTGGGGAGATGGCTCAGGAGTTAAGACCATTAGTTACTCTTACAGAGGACCTGGGTTCAGTTCCCAGCACACACATGGCAGCTAACACCTGTCCTTAACTCCAGTTACAGGGTATCTGACACCCTCTTCTGGCCTCCACGGGCATTGCATACATGAGGTGCACTTAACATGCATACAGGCAACACATACACACACATACACACACACACACACACACACACACACACACACACACAAAGTCTTTTTGAGATAGGGTCTCTCTGTAGCCCCAGCGGGCCTAGAACTCACTAGGTAGACCAGGGTGGCCTCAAACTCACAAAGACTCACCTGCCTCTACCTCCCAAGTGTGCCACCACACACAGGCAAAATAAAAAATATATTTTTTAAACAAATTTTTTTTTTTGAAGCAGGGTCTCCCTGTAGCCCCAGCTGTCCTGGAACTCACTATGTAGACCAGGTTGGCCTTGAACTCACAGAGATCCACCTGCCTCTGCCTCCCAAGTACTGGGACTACAGGCCTGCACACCCACACCCGGCTCAAACAAAATATTTTTAAAAAAGAACAGTGGCAGACATCCAGTGACAACTTGAGAAGTGATGGGTTTTATCCTAAGAGTTGCACATAGTCCCACCTGGGGCCTCTTTGCCAAGTGCCTCTTTGAGGAAGCTTCCTGAATAGCCCCCAGCCAAACGGCCACACTACAGGGAGGGGAAGAGAACATGAAGGCCAGGAACCATGCCTTTCTGCTAGGAGGATCATGAATAAGCACTTTTACTCTCTGAGCCTCAGTTTTGTCAATAAAACAAAGGCTATACTCATACAGAAAGGACTATGGGGTGTAAGGTAATAACCACACAGGGCCAGACTCAGGTCTGCATACAGCAAAGGTGAATTATTCCCTTTCCGTGTGGAAAGTGCTGCTTTTTACCTCATTGCCAAAGATGCAAAAGACAATAATATCAACTATTAAGGAGGTTGTGAAGAAATGAGGGTTTTAATATGCTACCAGCAAGGTGTGAATTAGTTTGATTTTTTTTTTTTTCAGATAGGGTCTGTGGCCATGACTGCCCTTAAATTTCACTATGTAGCCAAGGAAGATCTTGAATTCCTGATTCTCCTGCCTCCATCTCCCAAATTCTAGGATTACAGGTATGTATGTACTACTGTAACTGCTAAATTATTTTTTTGGTGTTTGAGAATCTATCAATTTAAAATTGGATGTGAGATGGCTCAGCAGTTAAGAGCATTAGTTACTCTTACAGAGAACCTGTGTTCAGTTCCCAGCACATTGTTTGGGACCCAACATTTCTTTTTTCTATTTTAAAGATTTATTTTATTTTATTTTATTTATTTTTTGGTCTTTTTGAGACAGGGTCTCCCTGTAGCCCCAGCTGTCCTGGAACCTGCTATGTAAACCAGGCTGGCCTTGAACTCACAGAGATCCACCTGTCTCTGCCTCCCGAGTGCTGGGATTAAGAGATTTATTTTATTTTAAATTTTGTGTATGTATATGTGTCTATGTTGGGTATGTGCACGTGAGTGCAGGTGCCCTTAGAGGCCAGAAGATGGTATCAGATCCCCTGAAGCTGGAGTTAATGACAGTTGTGAGCTGCCTGGTGAGGGTGATAGAAACTGAACTGGGTCCCCTGCAAGGGCAGTATGTGCTCTTAACTGCTGAGCCAGGCAGGGCTGGTGAGATAGCTCAACTTTTGCAGAGGACCTGGGTTTGGTTCCCAGTACCAGAATAGGGGGTAGCAACTATCTGTAACTCCAATTCAGAGGATCTGATGCCCTCTTCTGGCCTATGCAGGCATTGTCTGCATAGGTACACTTAAACTTGCATGCAGACAAAATACACATACACATAAAATTAAAAAAAAAAAACAAAAACAAAAACAAAACAGCCGCGCGTGGTGGCACATGCCTTTAATCCCAGCACTTAGGAGGCAGAGGCAGGTGGATCTTTGTGAGTTCGAGGCCAGCCTGATCTACATAGTGAGTTCCAGGACAGCTGGGGCTACAAGGAGACCCTGTCTCAAAAGAAAAAAAAAACAAAACAAAAAAACCACACACACACAAAAAAACCCAAAACTGCTGGCCAGGCTATGTCTGTAGCCCTTAAGTACCTCTTGCAATTTTTTTTTTTTTTGGCGTTTTTGAGACAAGGTCTCCCTGTAGCCCCAGCTGACCTGGAACTCACTATGTAGACCAGGCTGGCCTCGAACTCACAGAGATCTGCCTGCCTCTGCCTCCCAAGTGCTGGGATTAAAGGCGTGTGCCACCACGCCCACCTGCAATTTTTTATGTTTATTAATTTATGTATGTAGTGGGAGGGCATACATGCCACAGCTCCCATGTAGAGGTCAGGGGACAACTAGGGGGGAGTCCTTCCACCATGTGCGTGCTGGGGATGGAACCCAGGTTGTCAGCCGTGGTGGCAGCCACTTTTACCTCCTGGGCAATCTTGCCAGTCCATCAGTTTTGTTTCTTCTTTAAAAAAAAAAAAACAAAAACATTTGCTGGGCGTGGTGGCACACGCCTTTAATCCCAGCACTATGGAGGCAGAGGCAGGTGGATCTCTGTGAGTTCAAGGCCAGCCTGGTATACATAGTGAGTTCCAGGACAGCTGGGGCTACAGGGGACCCTGTCTCAAAAAAAACAAAAAAAAGGAGGAAAAAAAAAAAGAAGAATGCAGTTGCTGATGGAACCCCAGCCAAGCCTTACTTTTCTGAATTAATTCCCCTGGGTCCCCCATTTTATTTCTTTTAAAAATAAATAATTTTTATGTATTATTTTTATTTTATGTGTATGAGTGTATTGCCTGCATGTGCTTACGTGCACCCGTGTTGTGCAGTGCCTGTGGAGGTCAGAAGAGGGCATTGGATCCATAACGTGGAGTTATGGACTGCTGTTAGCTGTTATGTGAGTGCTGGTCATCAAACCCGAGTCCTCTGCAAGAGTAGCCAGTGCTCTTAACCACTGAGCCAGCTCTCTAGCCCCTTGTTTTGTTTTTTTAAACCAGGAACATATATTGTCTTTATGACAAAAAACAAAACAAAAACAAACAAACAAAAACTAGGGAAGGAGAATTATGGCAGAGTCCCACTCTGTAGCAGAGGCTGGTCTCTCAATCCTCCTGGTAATAGGGTTCTGGGCTTGCACCACCACGTCTGTTTATGACAATTTTAAAACAATAGAGATTTAAAAAACAAAAGGTACCATTAACCAGTGTTATAAATCTGCTCTATTATTAAGTTGCTCTGTGAAACAATCTTGTGCTGTTCCCTGTTTGTGTATTCCTGGGTGTTGCCCATTC